CCCCCCGGGAGCCACGCCGGGGGTCCGCCTTACCTCGGTCGCACTGGCAGGCGGGGTGGTGCCCATCCAGCTCTCGCAGCAGCGTACGGACGCGGCGCAGGATGTCCGACTCCACCTCTGCAGGGATGAAGAGGACATGACCAGCCAGGCCAGCACCACTGGGAGACCGGCACCCAGGGACAAGCCACCCCACGAATGCCACCCCACCAACTGGTGGCCCCTGGAGCCATACTGGAGAGCAAAGTGCTCCTGCAGGGACATGGCAGTAGAGAAGCGCTGCAGAGGACTGCTCATGCATGAGCTCTGCAGAGCCCCTGTCTCCCCTTGTTCAATAAAAAAAAAACCCCACACTTTAAAGATAGAAGCTAACAAAATTAAACCATAGCTTGGCACCATGAAAGAGCAGAAACACCTCTGTGTTTTGGCACTGCATGGATTCGGCCTCAACCTCATACCCATTGCAAGGAGCACTCTTGCAAGAAGGTCTGCTGCCCGCACTGGCAGCTCACCTCTCATGGGAAATCCAGGCAGAGCCACCAGCCTGGACATGTCACCTCCTGCTTTCCACCCGCGACCCCTCGCAGCCTCTCCCCGATGTGTGACCACCCACCAGCGGGCCCCAAGCACCTTCTGCTCCCCCAGGCAGGGACCCGAGGTCGGTGCTTCTGCCTGGTAACCACCACACGCACCTCGTACGCACCAAAACCAAACTGCATCCTGCTCTCAGCCAAAAATAGGTCTGACAACCTCAGACCCAGTTTGGGGTATGACTCGTACGTGGGGCGAGGGCTTGTGGTCACAAGTGAGCTCGCATGACAGCTGGCTGGCCATGCTTACCGACACATCGCAGATGTAAAATAAAAGTCAGCCCTGAAAGCACGTGGGGTATCGGACGGGAAAGCTGCAGGGTCCCTTTACTCCACCACGCCTGACTTTGTGTCCCTTCTTACACTGGGTATTGGCAAAATGATTCTTGTTCCTTTGTAATTAAAAAAAGCATTATATAAAGTTGGGTATTATTAGGTGATGTTCTCCTTCTGCAGGAAGTTGTAGGCTGGAGCAGCCAGAACATGGCCTGATCCAGGGAAGGATCTCAGGTGTTTGTGGTAACCGTATCGCAGGACCCTTTCCCGGGACAGGTTCCTGCCTCTGTGTTCACCGTTGGGGTCTGGACCATTGCTAGCAGTGGCTGAGCAGGTCTCGCCTGAGTGGCAAGGGTGCAAGCAAGGAGCAATTTATCCAGGTCCTAAGGGAGCTCCAGACACATACTGCCCAATCTGAGTTGTCTCATCCACATGGGATTGTCTTTTGGGACTGTAGTCATTACCACCACATTTCCTGCCCAGTTTTGCTCCTCAGTTTGCTCATTCCCTCCACACCCTCTTCTGCCACAGCTCCATCTTCCCTACCATCAGAGATGGCAGGAGGACAGTGGTGGGCACTCATCTTTACCTACAAGAAACAGAGGAGGCAGCCAGGGTGACACTATTTAAGAGCAGTGCGCAAGGACCACAGCCTCCAAACATCCTTCCTTGGCGCTGGAAGGAGATAAAGCCAACTGGGTCCGGTTGGTGGAGCAGGCGGTGCTTTGGGCTTTACAAAGAACAGTGACTGGGGGAGGTGGGTTGGGAGCTGGCTGGTTGAGAGCTACAGGAAGGGAAACAGGAAAATTACAGGGGGGATTTTACAGCTCAGCTGGAGGGTCAGACAAACAGGGCCATCTCCAGGGAGTGCTCCTGTGGGCAGAGGACCATCAAGACATGATCATGCAGGAGATGGGGCAGCTTTGAGTTTCTGCCCCCTCGCCCCATGCAGACCCATGCACCATCTCAGCATGGGTTTGAAGCAAAAAACAGAGATGATTTTTTGCTCTTCTACTGTGTCTTTTAGAGGGTGTGTGGGCCCAGGGTCATCATGCAGGGGAGTGGACATGGCACCCCGGAGTTGCCACCGTTCCCACTGGCGGTGCACAGCAGAGAGCAGGAGCACTTTGACCCTCACAACATCCTTGCTGCCTCCTTGTCACCAGCTTGCAGGGCAGGCAGCATGGCCAGACACATCAAAAGCCACTCTTGCCATCTCCAAGCCCAAGACTGCAGTGCCATGGGTCCATTGAGATGGTGACCAGGGCATAGGGGCAGCAGACACAAGCCCTGCATAAAAGACAACTGGGAAATGCAAAATTTGAAGTATTGGGGATGGCTTATTCCTCAGTACACCCCAATAGCCAAAATAGTTCTCCTATTTACTGACCCCAGGGAAGTACATCCCCTTAAGGATGCTTATATGGAGGATTCATTCACTTCAGGCTTCTTCTGCAGAGGAGTACTTACTGCTGTGGCTTCAGTTGAAGCTATGTTAGAAAACAACCACACACTCGGGTTCACAATTGTTCACATGTGCTGGTGAAGTTGTGCGCGCATACATGGGAAGTCCCATCTCTGCCAGCACAGTTCATGCCATCGTACCCACACGGGGAGAAATTACAGTGCAAAAATGTCCTTTGAAATGGGATTTTTCTCATTTTGGAAGTGTCATTTGGGGAAAAGTCAAAATTTTGCTTTGGAGATTTGTATTTTCTCTCCTTTTTGTTTTCTCTCCAGTGATTTTGTAAAGCTCAATTTCACTATTACATTCATTGGTTTTGCACTAGGGAATTATGCAATAAAGGACTATTTGAAATTTCCTATTCTTTTCATTTGTGTATGTTTTTAAATTACCGGGGGAAGTTTTTCCTGAGCACAGATATAAATACTGCCCTCTTTTTCTAAATCAAAGCGACTACAGTCATGATATGCTGAGGTTTCTTCATGGGGAGCAGAGCGTCAAAGCACTCGTTCCAAGACAAACAAGAGGCACTTTGATCTAAAAACAGTCTCAACGTACCAACGACAAGCAGTAGTGGCTTAGCAATGAAATAAAACATTTCAGTGTTGATATCCTGGCCTCGGGGTGCCGGGAGACCAACACCACCTTGTGAAACAGCGTGAAAATAAAACACAGATAGGGAAAAAAGTACAATAAAACATAAAACCGCTTTAAAATTGAAATGTGAATCGTTGCCAGACCTGGTGCTTTCAAAGTGCTCCTCTACAGCAAATCTTTTGGCTGCCCCTCAGTTGCTTCGTGCCTCATTTCCCATCTATCCAGCAGGGTCTGCCAACACCTTGCAAAGAGCAAGGTCTGCCCAGCGGCAATGAATCCTCCTCCTTAGATATCCACATATTTTATCGGAGGGTAATCAAGGCACAAGAAGGCGGGTGAGGTGGGTTCATTTGGTGGGGATCCCCCCACCCTGGCACACCGGGAGGGCTCAGCATCACCCACCTGTGCTCTCCATGGCCGGGCTGAGGCTGCAGCACGGGGCGGGCACGGTGGCCGCAGGGCGTCTGCAATGATGGGGCGAGTGTGCAGCTGCTCCTCACTCCACACGGGCATGGCCTTGGGTCCTGTGTCTCACCTGCAGAAAAATAGGGCACGCTCGGCTCAGGCTGGTGGTGGAGGTCAGGATCAGCCTGAACCCCGGGGGAGAGCACAAAGCCACGGGGACACCGCAGGCATGGGACCCCAGCGTGGAGGTTGTCCAGCAGAGAGGCAGAGCCCTAAGGGTGAGCACAGCATGTCTCAGGGGCTGTGTTTTGCTGGAGAAAGCTTCAGCTCAAAGCTGAACTTGTCTGAACACTTGGCCCCCAAAGCCTCCCACAGCAAGGAGGCCCCCAGGGATAAGCATCAGCATCACCGAGCAGGGCAGGATCAGGAACCTCATCCTCCCCAGGATTTAAGAAGAAATGTTCAGGTTAAGTCAAACTGAGTCTGAAATGCAAAGTCCAACCACAAAAGGAAAAAAAAAAAAAAAGCCCAAATTTCCATGAGGTTTCTCTGTTTGTTGTGCTGATCCGCTGCCATCCTGATCCAGCATCCCAGAGAAACAAACCCCGAGGAAAGCTCAGGAGCCGGTTACGCTGCAGAGGGAAGCCAGCCTGGAGCGGGACAGCTTCCCTTCCCCTCAAGCATTGTTCTCTCCAAAGAAAGAGGAAAAAAAAATAATCCTAAGAGCTGAGGAGGAAGGAAGGGAGATTTGCCTGTGAGACAACTACAAGCAGGCTGGGGAGCTGGCATAGGGCAGCCGCGGGGGAGCAGAGAAGACGTCGGCATCTTCTATGCAAAATACCGCTGCTGAGATGCTCAGCTGTAGTGACCTACCCCACAACCAGGTCCCTCCCAGCCTGCGGCTCCGGCACCTCGTGGTCCTGCCTGCCCAGTGCCCAGCGCCTCCCCCAGTGCCTTGCCCTCTCCCGTCTCCCCATCCATGGGCACAGCGGCAACCGCAGGACTGTGCTGCCTGTATTTACAGCCTGAGTGAGCTGCAACACCACTTTCAGCATTTCTAGATCGAGGCTTTTCCAGTCTGCAGGTTTTGCCCTCTCTTCTTGCCTTTAGGGATAGAAAAAAATAGACCACAGCTCTGAGTTCTATGATTTCCCTCAAACACCCACATTTGTGGCTGATAACAGGGAGCCCACCTCCAGCGGTCACCAAACCAGCACAGGCAGCAATAACAATGCAGTCCCATCAGTCCTCCACATCCCTCCAAGCACAGTCAAGCCATCAGCCCACGCTTGTGCTCATGTCTTTGCTCTACTTAAGAGTCGCTCTACTTATTTTGTAGATTTAGGACCTAACTCTACCCAGGTAGATCCTAAATCTGTAAATATCCATCAGCAAACCCAACAGCTCTACGGCTGCAAGGGGAGATGGATGGACACGTGCAGGAACACCCCTGCCACGTACCACTCGAGCCCCGAGAGCATCCTGCTCTCAGCAGCTTTCAGAAGCTCATTAAAGGTTTCCTGCAGCACACGAAGTTTTCAAAACCCACCCCAGACCCGTGTGGCCTTTATTTCTGGCCCCAGGGCTGGATAACAAGGCTTGGCGCCCAGCCACCATGGTGGATTTCCACCGCCTGCCGGGCAGCAGCGCCGCGGCAGCAGCTCCTGGCCACAGCTGAAAGCAGAGAGGACAAGGGAGGCAAGGACAGGGGTCCTTCTGCAGGCCAGAGGCTTACTATAGCAAATCCCGTGCCTCTGCTTGCACAGCTGGCAGGCAGCTTGGTCCAGGGCTGGGAGCAGGGAGGAGATGCCAACCATCCTCCGCCTCAGCTGGATGCTTGATACCAACCTCGGAATCGCATCTCTGCGGCACGTGGATACTGCTGCGGCAATGGATGTGCCCTTTCCTCCAAGGTGACCACCCTGGGGTGCAGCAGGGGTGCGTAGCAGGGCAGAGGGTGTCTACTAAGGTCAGCAAACCATTTCTCCCTCCGACACCCCACACTGATGGCACCGGCGCTGTCTGCGGGTGAGTCGTGGTGCTGCCCACAGGTTGTTCCTGCCTGTGGCACAGCCACCTGCCTGCCCCCTCGTGCCCACGCTGCCACCCCTGGCCGGGCACTGGATGACTTCCCAGAGGTGATCAGCACCCCTGGGGCAGAGCGGTGAGCAAGGGAAGGATACTCTCACACTCCAGCCACAGCCAACCGCAGTGCTGACAGCCTGCGCCAAGCATCAGCCGTGTATCTGTGGACAAAGAGGCCTTTGCTTCTACGGGCAGAAATGGGACATGCCTCCTGGTGTGCCAGGGTCTGGACCAGAGGAGGAGAACATCAATTAACTTTCCTAGTCTCAGAAATTACAGACCACCCTCTCAAATCACTGACTACAGAAGGAAAGTGAATGATTCTCCTAATCCCTTGCATGCATAAGAGCACCAAATACCGTACAGCAGCATTACACAGCCGTGAGCTGGCTGGCACCGCGGTTCTCAAAATGATATTTCCTGCTGGGAAAAGCGCTGGGGTCCCCAGTGCTGCGGGAGACCCACGGCACCTGCGCCGAGCGGCGGAGCCGGGGCTGCATGCCAGGCTCCTTCACCGTGCCTGCCTCGAGGCTTGGAGCGGCTGGCGGGCGAGGGGGAAAACAAGCCCCCGCCATCTCGGTTAGGGATATTC